GTATCTCGCACCGGGGTTTTTGTGCAAACTCAGCAGGAGCATGGACCTACCAGTGTTCCGAATAGGCGGTCTGTCCAGTCCAGAGGCCTCAAACTGGACCGCCTATCGAGTTGTAGACCGTGGACTGGACCGCCTGGCAGTCCAAGGATCATGGACTGGACCGCCTGCCTCTAAACAGTCCATCCAGAGGGTCAGTAAACACCATCGTTATTAATTCGCTGTAGCATCCTGAACATCATACTAAATGGTAAATATTATATCATTTATAAACCCGGCCATAATAAAACATCCACATCGTTCGGAACAGCTACGGTAATACACGTGCAGTGTGTTAATATTAAACATCGCAGGGACTACTCTATTATCGATAAGATAACCAGCACCATGTTTGCTTTTTTTGGTTAGAATGATCCCTAAAAGGCCGCCAACCTTTACCCCAGCCGGATTACATAGGCGGTCCAGGCGGTCCAACGCTCTCAAACTGGACCACCTGGTCCACCAAAATCGCTGGACTGGACTGGACCAGGTAGGCGGTTCAGGCGGTCCAGCCCATTTGGACCGCCTATTAGGAACACTGGGACCTACTACGAATGTCTGCACTGTAGGAGGGCTACGCATATTTCGGTCATCATGAACGCCGTGGTAGGTCACAGTTACGATCTATCATTCTCAGGCGGCCGCGGAAAATGCCCGAGGCAAAGATCCGGTGGCTTATATCAGATGCGCCCAATTTCACGAAGTGCTCATTGGCAATATAGGAGGTTTTAGATTCGATAAGTGCTTGGCCCAGCCCCGCGGAAAAGAAAAAAAAACCATGGCAGAGGACAGCACGATGGGCGATAGTTCGATGTGGCAGCCCGGCCGCAAACAGCCTGTTCTGTTTGCTCCTGGCGCTCCATATGTATCGGCGGGTAGTGTCCAGTGACATGTACTGGCCCAGCGACACAACCACAAGGGACCCTTGTCTGGCACGAACGTACAGGGAGGTTGAGCATGGAGCAGGGGGCGGCCGACAGAATACTCTTCCTCCTTCCAGATGGGCTGCTCTTTGCCCTGGGCCTCATGGGGGTTGGACGGTGGATGGGGCAAGTTTCTCTGTTCCGTGCGCAATATCGAGGCCGGGGCAGGCCGGGACCACCCCGGCTTACTGCCATCTGTGCTGCAGCAAGCATTTCTCGCAGTCCAGGTGCATCTCGTGCGCTTTGCCGCGCTATGGACTCAGCTACGGAAGGGAGTCTCTCCAAGGATAGCTTCTGAACGCAGAATAATACTTTCTTCTCACATGCAAAGTCCTTCGAACAGGAATTGCCTTCGAAAGACTAAGGTTTGTGAGGCAATCTTTGTCACTCTAATGTTAGCTGCCCCGGACCACATCTTTCAATTGCCCGACGACACCCCGTGGCAACTCAAGGCATCCTCTCCTACTTTGAGACCACCACCCTTGCGCTCACCTCCACAGCGCTTGTGCCACTTCGGCGTGGTCACCGTTCAAGTTGGAGGAAATTGCAACCACTGGAGTGGTGTCCAGTACCTCCGATGTCAAGTTTACGGCTTCCCTACTGTCTGGTTGTAAGTCAATTACAAGCGAGACCAGCATTTCAGATATCTTCTCCCCCCTGACCTGATATTCCACTTCATCTTCACCTGCTAGTCCCGATTGTTCTTCACCCCCTCACCTGTCGCTCTGATTCTTCTTCTCGCGCGGACAGTTCCTTTGGTTAACGCCAATGCTTGCAGTAAATGGCATGACCGTCACTCTCGCGCGTCCCGATACACTGCTGGTGGGCAAGCGCTACATACTTTATTTAACCCACGAATTCCCAGTCTGCCGCGATCACCTTTCCGGGGACAATACCGCCTCAGAAGAACCAGATCACGGACGTCCGAATTCCGCGAGGCACACGAGAAATATAATACGCCGCTTCCAGCACCCGGTTCGACTGAGTGAACTCTGCAAATACTCCTGGGTTCAATTTAGAATAGCTGACCTATCACAAACGAATTTGCATAGTCACTCTACAGGTTGAACGAGGATATCATGGGGATACGAAAAAAGGTGAAGAATGCACCATTTCAAATCACCAACGTACTAGAAAGGATATTGTTTGCTGCCAGTACCCAGAGCTTATCTCATGGCCCTCCAGAGAAAATATCCAGCTCTCACGATGTCATCACTTCGTGTTCAGACAACGCTTTTGTCATGACGGACGGTAATTCCACCGTAGTGGATGGCGACCCTGCGATGCGCTGGCCCGACGATTATTCCATACTAGACGTTGATCCCTATATGCCCCAAATCAACGGTCCCCCCGTTCATGAAGACGACGAGGACTCGACGTATGGAGAAGCACCCCCTACCACACCTACCTCGATGTGCAGCACCGCAGCCCGCTGTATAACGAAGCACGGCCGCAGGTACGAGTTTCACTACCAAGGTGGATTTTATCCTTTTCCAAATGACGCCGCCGAACAACAGCGGCTCGCTGCCTTCCATCACCATATCACGGAGTACCATGCCAGCAGCGGCTCCAACGGCGGCCACGGGCTTCA